CGGATCGTCCCCGCGCTCAGGTAAGCGACCCGCAGCGCCCGGTCCGATCGCTCCCCGCCCGTCCCGGGCGCGGGGGAAGGTCTCCTCCGGGAGCAAACTCCGCGTCCGTTCGCCCCGGACACACCTGAGTCTCGGCGTGTTCCTCTCCTGCCCCTCCGCCTGTCCCGTGCGCCGCCGCCGCTGCCTGGCAGGTCTGGGTTGTTCGCTTGGGCAATGACCTTTCCTGGCTCTTTAAAGGGAAAACAACTCTGCGCCCTGTAAAGCTGGAAAAGTCAGTCCCAGATCTCTGTAATAGGATAAATAAAGCCAAAGAATTCCCTCCCATCCTGCTCTGTAGGCTGCACTACAGCTGTGGAATGTCTGCACATCCTGCAGTCTGCCCAGGGAACACAGACACCCTGGGCAGGTGTTAACTGGACTGCAACAAGCTCAACAAGAAACTGGTGTCTCTCAGATAATTAGACTCCTCATTAATAAGGCACCAGAACCACATCATTAATGTTGATGGGTTATCCAGTGCAAAACCCTCCAGTTCCTTTGCTCAAAGGTAAGTGCCAGTGATTCTCAGGCTTCAAAAAGTGGCACATACTCTGAGGTGTTTGACACCTTCACGTTTTTTTCTTGAAAGCTGTCACTGATAAAATGTGAGAAGTAAGAGGTTCACAAGGGGTTGACAGAGAATAGTTGGCCTAGGAAGAAAAGGAAGGAACTAGGTATTTTTCTGCTGCTTTTTGTCTGCAGAAAGACATTAGAGTATTTATGACCCTTAGCTTTTATAGAATCATAGAATCAGCAGGGTTGAAAAAGAGCTCCAAGATCATCGAGTCCAACCCTACCCTGAGCTGCTGCAATAATTTGATCCCCTCCCTTTGGCAGTCCCAGCCCACTGAGGGAGATACGCTGGTGGTTGTGATGTGAACTGGACTGTTCTGCTTTGGGTTCTTGCAGGTTCATCATCAAGGGAGGCCTGGCTGGAGCTGCTGTGTATGTGGCATACGACCAGGGGCTGTTGGGCAGTGGCACACAAGGTGCTGAAGCCCTCAGGAAGGCTCAGGCAGCTCTGCCTCCAGCTATCCAAGAGTGGACGAGTTACCTAGGCTGGGAGGTAACACTGCAAAGCCAAGGCACTCTCTGAAGGAGGTGGTGTTGAGAAGTTTCCTGATGAAACTTGATTCACCTTGCAAATATTTGGAAGAGGATTGAAATGGAAGGAGAATAACATTTTAAATCTGGGGCAGAGACATTGCCCAGAGATGTTATCTCACAGGAGAAGGGTAACCAGCCTGTGCAGGGCCAAGGAGGGACTGCAGACATGCTCTGGGAGGTATTTCAGTGCTATTCCTAAGCTTCTTTCGAGGGTTCCTACATAAAGAAATTAAAGAAAATATTATCCTCCCAATTTCTCAAGTTGCTAACAGATCAAGTTGAACTTAAATTGCCTGAAGAGCCCCTTCCCTGTGAGTAATTCTTACTTTTAAAATCCCCCAAAAGAGCCTTTGCTTAAGTTTCAGAAGCACTTTTCTTACGAGGGACAGTTCTAAACTAACAGGTTTAAGGAAAAAAAAGGCTGTAAGGAAACAGCCACAGAGGTGTTTTTTCAGGAGCAGCCAAATGATACATACTACACCTTCTGCCCCTGCTTTATGGTGGGAGAAGAGCAAAGCTAGACTCAAAAAGTGATCCCTTTCGAGCCTTAGGGAGTACAGGCACCTAAGTACCTCTGAGATCTGAGGGCAAGAGGCTTCTCCAAGGTGATGTGACTTCTAAGTGAAACCTCTCAAGTGCTTATATTTTGTCTCTCTCTCTCTTTCTAGCTCCCACCCACTCCAAAATTTGACTTTTCCCCCTCTGATTCCTGGAATAAAGGTAAAATAACTGCTCACCAAACTGCAGGGGGAGCAAGGGGCCAAGAGTGATGATAGAGCTTGTACCAGTGTGGTTTCAATCCTGTGCTCCTGAACTGAATGATCATAGAATTTAGGGGTTGGAATGGACCTTACAGACCATCTGGTCCCAACCCCTGCCCTGGGCAGAGACACCTCCCACCAGAGCAGATCTTGTTTGAAGGCCAAAGCATGTTATAAATACCTAGCAAGGTAATTTAGTTTAGGAATCTTCATGTAATTGTGGGGAAACAGTCCACAAATACTGTGACACGTCCAACATCTCCCCTGGGGGCTGTGGCAAGGCCAGAAATAAAATGGAACTTAGCTCAGTTCTTCTAACTGTCTTACCTCACATACAGCCCCTGAAGTTTGAATTTCTCTGTGTCACAAATGCTCCTGAGACAATAAAGTTGTGCTTGAACCAAGATCATTCAGCCACAGTGTGTCTGAAAGCTGCTGAGTTAGAGCTCAGAGCTTTTCTCTCTGCGTTCGAAGACACCTACAAGACCAGAGTAACACTGGGACGTTTGGCTTGAATTGTGATCTTCCTGGGGTAATTCTTCTCTGCTTTCCTTGCAGGAGTGCAGTCAGTCATGTCTGCCTTGTCTGTAGCTCCCACCAGAGCCTGTGAATACACAGTGGAAGGCTGGAAGTATGTGAAGGATCTTGTCAAATGAACACGTTCTCCAGGCTCTGGTTCTCTCCGTCCTGTGTGGCCTCTGGGATGACGTGTGGTCCTTCTGTCAGGAAGGCAGCTCAGCCATGCAAGGGCTACAATAAAAGACTTTGGAACTTCCAATTGTATTTGGGTTTGTCTTAGCATACAGGCTGGAACAGTTGCTTTGTGTTAGCTTCAGAGACCACAGACCAGTTCTGCTGCAGTGATGGGCCAGGGAACGTTCCTGGCTTTGGGACTACCCCGACCCAGCAGCAGCTAAATACAATAGTTCTGACCTGCACCTGCAGGAGGTTCACAAGTAACCTCTGCATTACCTCCTCCAGGAGCTGTGCTGCTATCCCAGCATGGAACTCCTTTGTGTGAGACTGAGGAGTGTCATATTGCACAGTACCTACCAACGTGAGACCAGATGCAAAACATTCTTCACCACTTGTTCTACAAGATCAGTTTTGCAGTGGCAGAGGGTTCAAACTTGGACAGCTGCAGTCTGCTGCTCTCTCATGGTGACAGGCTAGTTAACTCTGACACACCTGAGGTAACACTCAGTTTCAGTGTATTTCTGGCAGTTGGATGCTACAGAAAGTGCAGAGGACACACCTGTAAGGCATTTTGACATGTCATCTCCTAACCAAAGTTACACAGCTGAATAAAATAGCTTTACAGGCACTGCTGAAACAGAGCAGCTAACTGTAAACTGGCATTTATTTATGGAAAATGGAATGCTTCATTAACAAACATTTAAAATGGGGTATGAACAACACATTACAAAACAAATGAGTTCACATTGGATCGAGTGACAGAATATGGCAGCAGCTTAAAAAAAATGACACTTACAGTAGCCCCTAAGTTACAGTGAGTGGTAACCCTGGGTAACACCTGTTTCACTTGCCACCTTGCATTAAAAACCAAACACACTCAGTAGCGACGGTTGAAACGAGGATCGTTGGGTCTGTTTGCTCTCTCCTGGCCAGCGAATCCTTCTCCTTGCATTCCTCCTCCATGCATGATCTGACTTTGATTGCCACCTTGCATGAAACTTCCACGCCTAAAACAAAGGGATTCAGACACTTGACTTTCCCTCCATGCCTCTGGTTGCCAGGCTGCTAGAAAGGGTGTTTTCCCTTTGGCATGATTTTTCATTCTTCAGTAAGATATAAAACCCATGGGAATATTTTATTATTCCTGTACATTCACACTACCAATCAGGTCACTGAGACTCCCACAAAATGTTACCTTGACCAGTTTAAATACATGAAATGTCCCTTAAGAGGATAACAAGCACTTTGCTGCTTTGGAAGCTCTTACCCTGACATGCCTCCACGATGCATCACGTGGCCAGGTCTGCCTCTGCCTCCACCTGAAAAAGTTCAAGTTCTTCCTTTACATCCACAGGAATGGTTTTACTTCCCCTCCAAGGACAATGGGAGCTGTGCAGGGAGCATACCTTGCCATCTCTCATGATCCCTCCCCATCATCCCTCCGTCCACACTGCTCTGCCATGAGCGATCCTGGTGTCCCTCGAACTTCCGACTGTGATCGCCCCAGTCACGTCCATCCCTGCAAAGGGATGAGATTCACAGCCCCTCACGGAGAGCCAGAGCACACAGAACAGATTTGGGTACACAAAACAGACCATCCCTGCAACTTGCCATCTCTCATGATCCCTCCCCATCATCCCTCCGTCCACACTGCTCTGCCATGAGCGATCCTGGTGTCCCTCGAACTTCCGACTGTGATCGCCCCAGTCACGTCCATCCCTGCAAAGGGATGAGATTCACAGCCCCTCACGGAGAGCCAGAGCACACAGAACAGATTTGGGTACACAAAACAGACCATCCCTGCAAGGGATGGGATGGGAAGCCCTTCACGGAGAGCCAGAGCACACAGAACAGGTTCAGGTACACAAAACAGACCATCCCTGCAAGGGATGGGATTCACAGCCCCTCACAGAGAGCCAGAGCACACAGAACAGGTTCAGGTACACCAAACTCAATCACAGACTTTACCCACGTGCATGTGCATCTTACACTGACACTGCTACCTGCCAAGGCAAACCTGAGTAAAATCCTGCTCAGACCAACTGAGATAACAAATAGGGTACTCAGGAAGAATCCAGTCTCACCTTGAAAACCTCCAGGGATGGCGAATCCACCACCTCCCTGGGCAGCACATTCCAATGCCTGAGCACTCTTCCCCTAAAAAAATCTCTTCCTCATAATCCAACCTAACCCTCCCCTGGCAGAGCTTGAGTCTGTGCCCTCTTGTCCTGCTGCTGGGTTGCCTGGGAGAAGAGACCAACCCCCACCTCACTCCAACCTCCTGTCAGGAGTTGTAGAGGGTGATAAGGTCTTCCCTGAGCTTCCTTTTTTAAAAAAAAAAATCATGCCAAGATGCACGTTCTGATAGAGAAAGCTGAAGGAGCTACTCACTCGCAGCCCTTCCAACACACCTGGAGTGCAAGTTGGGGGGAAAAAAAAAAAATCATGCTTCCATTACCATTCCATCCCACCTTCACTGGTGGAAATACTCCCAAGAGGCACAAGAGGACATGTTTCCAGTGCAGCACACTCACCGTGACTGGGGGGGGATCCCTCTGCTTTCACTCATCCTTCTGTCGGAGCCGTAGCCTCCCCAGCTCTCCCGCGACTCCCGCGAGTGCCGCTCGGGGCCTCCGTGGCGCTCGTCCGGATAATGCTGCAAGGCAAAGACCCTGACAGGACTGCACAGCTGTGCTGGTTTGAGCTGAAGTAGAGTTAACTTTCTTCACAGAGGCTAGTATGTGGCTATGTTTGGGTTTTGTGCAGAACACAGAGTTGATAATGCAGAGATGTTTTTGCTATTGCTGAGCAGAGCTTACACAGAGTCAAGGCCTTTGCTGCTTTCTGTACTGCCACACTGACCAGGAGGTTGGGGGTACATGGGAGATTGGGAGGAGACACAGCTGGGACAGGTGACCCAGACTGATCAAAGGGATATTCCATACCATAGGATATCATGCTCAGTATATAAGGTGGGAGGAAGAAGGAGGAAGGGGGGACATCTGGGGTGATGGTGTTTGTCTTCCCAAGGAACTGTTATGCGTGATGGGCCCTGCTCCCCTGGAGATGGCTAAACACCTCCTGTCTTTGGGAAGCAGTGAATTAATTCCTTGTTTTGCTTTGCTTGTGTGTGCAGCTTTTGCTTTCTCTATTAAACTGTCTTTATCTCAACCCATGAGTTTTTGTAGCTTTTACCCTTCTAATTCGCTCCCCCATCCTGCTGGTGGGGCAATGTGTGAGTGGCTGTGGTTCTTGGCTGCTTGCTGGGGTTAAATCACAACAATAGCCCAGAGCTCTCCACTGCCTGAAGCTGCTCAGCTGTAACTGATCTCACAATCATCAGATGGAAGGGACCTCCTGACACTGTCCAGTCCACCCACCCTGCCCCAGCACTTGCTGTCCACAGGAGTCTCCCACTGGGCTTTGAGTGCCCTCACAGCTAGAGACTGCACAAGTTCTCCATGCAAAATGTTCCAGTGTTCAACCACCTGCACAGGTAAAGGTTATTTGTAACCTCCTTGAGTGAACATGCAACTTTGTGCCTGTTCTAGGCAATCTCTGGGATTGCTCTATTTTGATAGGATTCACTTGGTTTGATTTCTATTGGAATAATCACATCTAACTTCTATAATAATTTTTGAACTGAATTTCACCTCCCTAAAGGAAACAAGACAATCACATTATTGATATATATCTGGGGACACACCATGTGATTCTCAGCTACTGAAACTTAATCTGACACACCCCATGGAAAAACAGGTTAAAACAGGTGAAGACATTTCTGTAGCTTTAGAATGTAACTCACCTGCCCATCCCGATCTCCCATAATTGTCCTCGATCCATCTCTCCTACAAACAAGCAGTAAAATCAGACTGTGGTAGTAAAACATACATCAGCCTAGGAAAATCTATCCACGTAACAACACGGATGACAAATCCTGCTCACAGTGCCAACGCTGTCTAAGCTGAACACATGGAAACCCTGACAGGTTTGGATTCCTGGAAAACCCAGGTAGTCCTGATATATAAACCAAGATATATAACCTGATATATATTCCAAGATGCTCAGTGCCTACAATCTTATTTTGGAAGTTCAGAATGCTATAAACATGCCAAGCAGCACCGTGAGACACGCTAACAAGTCTGCCAGCAGGTTTGACTCGTGGCACAGTATGGATCTCCTCATGGTGGTGTAAGGAGAAGTCCATGGGCACTGACCACACTGGGAACACAAACCAGGAACCCAAACACACATCACAGGCAGCAAAACGTGCCATTAGACCAGCTCTGTGCCTCCCCTCCCAGGCAGGCAGGGCTCACAGACCTGTCCATGGAGTGCTCCTGGTACCGGCCGCGCTCCCGGTGGTCGAAGTCGTGGAATCGATCCTGGCGCCCAAAGTCCGAGTGGTAGCGATCGCTCAGCGCCATGCGCTTCGCCTCGGGCCAGTACGGCTCGTCCCTCCTGAGGGAGCAAACAGCCTGTCAGCCCAGGCACTGACCCTGTTCACTGCTCCCCTTCCAAACTGCAAACCCAACCAAGGGCAGCTCAGTTCGACTGGGGCTGAGAAACCCGAGGGGGATAGTTTGGGGCGACTGAACACGATTGTTTCCTCATGAAACGCGATCGTCTCAAAGCAATCAGCACCTGCTGACTGAGAGGGTGAGAGCACACACGGCTGCTCACAGCCAGGCTGAGACAGAACTGGTGATGATGCTCTCCACGTGCCCTGTGTGGACCTGCTGGCCTTACCTGCCGTCCATGTCGTACGGTCTGCGCATGGCCGAGCGTCTCTCCTGCTCGTAGCGCAGCTGCTCGTGCTGCCGCCGCAGCTCCTCACGCTCCCGCTGGATCCTGTCCTGCTCCCTCCTCCTCTCGTGCTCGATGTGCATCCTCTCCCTCTCCAGCCTCTCCCTTTCCATCCTCTCTCTCTCCAGGCGTTGCCTTTCTATCTCCAGCCTCTCCCTGGCGATCTCCAGCCTCTCCCTCTCCTCGCGCTCGCGGATCGTCTGCAGGTGCTGCTGCCTCTCCCGGCGCTCACGTGTGCTGGGGGGACAGAACCAGAGGTCATTATGTCATTCCTCAACAAGTGCTAGAAACTAAACCCACAGCGACTGCAAACTTGTGGCAGGGCCTCCAAACTGGTTCGGTTGTGGGGGGAGGGCACGAAGGGAAGAGACTCTGTACACACGTATGATTCGTTCTCGAGAGTCTGAGCCTGTTACACCCACAAAACCTGAGGGGGCAAATCATTCTGTGTGGTCAACAGTTTGAATCAACACCCACAGCTCATTTCTCACACCAAAATAAAACACCCAGCTGTGAAGAAGCCAGAACAGTATGCTGAATAATGACTGCCCTGAAGCTTGGGAATCTGAGAAACTTCTCCCCCTCCACTATGAATGACACAAGAATTTTCCCTCTGTTCAATTCAACTGCTTTCGAGTGAGTGATAAAGTTTTATAATGTGTGCAAAGACGAAATTCAGGCCAGAATTTCAGCAAGGCATTTGAAGGACAGCCATTGTCACTTTTAACCTGTATTAAACATCACAAAACAAAACCAAAACCCACCAAAAATAATCCCATACTTGAGCTATGTTTGATAGATACAGAACCCATAGACATGTAACACATTACAAGGGAAAAAAAACGGAAGAAATTGAACTCCTCTATCCCTGAGTCATGGGAATGGAAATGAAAAGGACAGATGCGATGCAGGGAGGGAAGTCAAGAGCGTTCCCCTGCCGCTCTCACCGGCGCTGCTCGGCCTCCCTCATCTTCCTCTGGGCCTTGATCTTGTCGAAGGGCACAATGCTCTGCCTCTCTCTGCTCTCAGACTTGCGGTCCTGGCTCTTCACGCTCTGCAGATGGAAGTGAAGGAGAGACACCTCATGCAGTACAGCTATAAAAGGACAACTACACAAACAATGCTCTGAGTTCTGTTCCCAGTCGTACATATCACATCCCAAACCTTGGTCCTGCACTGGCCAAAAAAGCTTTTTTTAAACATTACAGACACACACCATAGAAACGTAGAATTTAGGGGTTGGAATGGAGCTTAGAGATCATCCAGCCCCAACCTCTGCCCCGGGCAGGGACATCTCCTCACTAGATCAGGTTGCTCTTATCACCTTCATGGCCTCCTCTGGACTTGCTCCAACAGTTCCATGTCCTTCTGATGTTGAGGACACCAGAACTGTGTGCAGGATTCCAGGTGGGTCTCAGAAGAGCAGAGCAGAGGGGAAGAATCACCTCCCTTGCCCTGCTGCCCACACTCCTGTGGATGTAGCCCAGGATTCCATTGGCTTTCTGGGCTGAGCTCTCACTGCAGCTCATGCTGAGCTTCTCATCCACTGCCACTCCAAGTCTTTCTCCTCACTGCTCCTCTCAATTCCTTCCCCACACAACCTGGAGCTGTGCCTGGGGTTGCCCTGGCCCAGATGTAGGACCTTGCCCTTCATTCTGTTGACCTCCATGAGGTTTGCATCATTCCACCTCTCAAGGTCCCTCTGGATGTCCCATCCCTTCCCATCTATCAGCACAGCAATACTCACCTTCCCATGCTTGTCTGGCAGGATTTGACTGCTGAATGTGCTATCAGCCATATAAAAGGTATTTTACTAATCAATCCACATTATAGAAACTGCAAGTGGACAAACTGGTGAGACATGTCTGGGTCTCATGTGGCCTAGCAGGGTTCAGTATCTGTTCCTAAGGAAAATGTTTCCCATGCAGAGACAATACTTACTCTGTCTTTTGAAGAACTTGATGTTTTCACACTAATAACAGGTTCTCCTTTGGATTTATCCATTACTACTGTTCTCTCTGTTCCTTTACTTCCTAAATAGAGGCGAAAAGACCCAATCAAACTCCACAGCCTCCACCTCTCGTTGCTATGCTAGAAGTTATGTTCTCTGAATGGCCATTTAACCCTCTACATTACCAACTGTTTCACTGCACCTAACCCAACTGCTTCTTTTATGGCTGGTACAATGTCAAACACCTCCCCCCAAAACACCTCCCCCACACGGTCTGGATTTCCAGCCAAGGACCAGAAACAATCCCAGAACTACCTCCAATTTATTCATACATCTACACATCTTTTACTCTGTAAGAAAAGAATAGTCATATTACCTGACTTAACAGTTTTGGGTTGATCTGATGAACCAGATTTCGCTTCATCTTTCTCCTTTTTGTCCTTTTCATCTTTGTCTTCTGTCTTTTTCGCATCATCTTTTTGGTCAGATTTCTCATCCCTTTTAACACTGCCAGGTCTGTAGAGAGAGATTGATATGGATCAGACTAACAGAGACTAAGAAAAGAGAAAATCCAAGGGGAATGCCAAGAACACAGCAACGAAGTGGAACCCTGGTGTGATAACAGTCATAACTATTCCTTCCACAACCTCCTATGCCATAAAATAAGACATCAGACCATCCTGTGCAGCTGTCAAAGGACTTGGCCATAAAACAGCTATCTCAGCTGGAAGCAAGAGGAAAAATTCACACCACCCTGTGCTTAATGCCCAGAAAAATTCTTACACATGACAATTAGGAAGTGCCAACGTGACCCATCTTTGTCAGGCAGCCAGGTGAAATAAAAGCAAACATTCCTCAGCAAAAGGCATTCAGCAGATTATGGCTCGAAAACTAAAGCCAAGGACTCAGTCACTCTTAGTGCCTTATTCAGCTGCTTTCAGTAATGGCAGAGAGAAAAAACACAGTGCTGAAGGGGAAGATGTGCTGGAGTCAGGATCTTGGACAGCTCTGTTTGAACTGTTTGTGACCACCACCCCTGGAGCAAACCCTGCTTCAATGTGATGAAGAAACAGTGACACAAAGGTCAAAACTCAAGTGGTAGGACTCAGTCACTCTTAGTGCCTTATTCAGCTGCTTTCAGTAATGGCAGAGAGAAAAAACACAGTGCTGAAGGGGAAGATGTGCTGGAGTCAGGATCTTGGACAGCTCTGTTTGAACTGTTTGTGACCACCACCCCTGGAGCAAACCCTGCTTCAATGTGATGAAGAAACAGTGACACAAAGGTCAAAACTCAAGTGGTGTTTCCCACAGATTTCAGACCTGAGAGCACCATAACCATTGCTAAAGACCAAACACAGCTAAATTAATAGGTAAGCCTGATAAGGAAACTTTCCAATGCCAACCTTAAAGCACCTAACAGAAACATGCTAAGTTAAACTTGTGTTGATGCTCAGTGCCTACCTTGCAGCAAAAGTTGAAAAAAACACATGTAATCCTCTTTTGGGATGTTTGCATAGATATTGTTACTGTAACTTTTTACTGACACATCAACACAGACTGAAGAACAGTAAAACACCTTTGGAAGTGAATTTTTAGAACAGTACCTCTCACTGGCTGTTTCTCTCTTTGCTTCATTCTCTTTTTTTTCACTTGTCTTCTTCCCAGCAGGTTCATTTTTTGCCTGAAAGTGATTTTGAACACCATCAGACAATGTGGTCTCAATTACATCATAGAATCATAGAATTCAGGGGTTGGAATGGACCTTACACCCAGCCCCAACCCCCGCCCCGGGCAGGGACATCTCCTCACTAGATCAGGTTGCTCAAGGCTCATCAAGCCTGGAATGAACACCACCAGGGTTGGGGCAGTCACAGCCTCCCTGGGCAACCTGAGCCAGTGTCTCACCACCCTCACAGGGAAAGGTTTTTCCTCACATCCAACCTAGACTTCCCCTCCTTCAGTTTGAACCCATTACCCCTTTTCCTGTCACTGCAGTTCCTTAACACAGAGTCCCTCTCTGGCTCCTTGTAGCCCCTTCAGATACTGAAAAGTTGCTCTGAGGTCTCCACACAACCTTCTCTTCTCCAGGCTGAACAGCCCCAACCCCCTCAGCCTGTCCAGCCCAGGATTCCATCAGCTTTCTGGGCTGAGCTCTCACTGCAGCTCATGGGGAGCTTCTCATCCACTGTCACTCCCAAGTCTTTCCCCTCATTCCTCCTATCAATTCCTTCCCCACCCAACCTGTGGCTGTGCCTGTCTGATGGGAATGGAGTATCTTTGAGGATCACTACTCACTTTTTCCACAGAAATTATCTTCCCATGCAGCTCTGTTTTGTGGAGGTGAGTGATACACTTGGTGGCCTCCTCTGCCGTGGACATGGTGACGAAGCCGTAGCAGCGAGCGCCAGGACTGCGAGCGTTGGTCACCACTTTGGCACCCACCACCTGCCACAGGAAAGGCATCACACTCAGCAGGAGTCCCTGACCTTTAACAGCAAGAACTACAAGCTCCATTTCTGCTCTTTTTAATTCCTGTCCATAATCATCATCATACAGCAAACTTCTGTTTTTAAGGGACTGACCAATACGGCAGGAGATTTGCTAGAACCAGCCAAATTTCTGTTGCCAGTGAAACACTACAAAAGCTGAATCAATAGGTGAGAGCCAAAGATTGAACTCTCTCCTGGTGAAAACCACAAGGGGACAATAAATAAAAATAGTGTATCTAACTTTACATCAACATCACTTTGCTGAAGCATAAAGGACTAAAAACTAGTAAAAATTTGTTAAGTAAGTTTCTACACACAGGTTAATGCCAGCCCAGCTGCTAAGTCCCAACCTGTGCCAGTGTCTCACCACCCTCAGAGCCATTTTCACCTTGGTATCCCACAACTCCCCTCACTGCTACTTTCAGGGACAGCAGCTTCAGAAGTCTTATTGACACAGTGGAAAAAAAAACAGCAAAAATACCCCCTTACCTTCCCATATTTGCTGAACAGATTCTTCAGGTCTGTGGCTCTGGTGGTGGAAGCCAATCCACTCACCCAGAAGTTCCTCCCAGAGCTGCCAGCACTGCGACCTGATCAGAAAAACAAAGAAACAAACCCAAAACATACCCCAAATCCTAATGACATCAGCAACTGCTGCTGAATTCAAAAGGAGCACTACCACAAATCTTTAACTCGTAAAAATCATACAGTAAGTTTGCAGATGACACAGAGTTCGGGGGGAGTGTGGATGTGGCATTTAGTGCCATGGTCAAGTGACCACAGTAGGGTTAGATTTGATCTTGGAGCTCTTTTCCAACCCTGCTGATCCTATGATTCTATGAAAAGGATCAGGCACCTGACAGTGCCAATCTAGACATTTCCTTCCTGCCTATGATGCACCGTAGACAAATATGTAGGAAAAACCAACCCAGTTTGAGGACAGCATGAAGCTGTAAGGAAGTAATGTAAAGCAAACTCAAGTGAAAAATGATCTTGACTCAACAGGAGTTGTGAGCAGCACCTCCAGAGGCATAAAAGACACATATGCCACATACTAACATCTACCTTTGAAGACAGACACAAACAAGAGGAAAATACTATTTTGCATAAAGAAAATCCAGAAAGAGGTGCATCTATACTATGCAACAACTGCACAGACTGCAATGATTTCCCACCCAAATCCCCCACCCTTACACTTAGCCAAGCAACCAGCAAAGCTCCACTTTAGAGAACAAACCTACCTTTCTCATCTTTTGAGATTATCTTTGTCTCTCTGTCCTCCTCAACAGGGCTAAAGACAAAACACCACATTACTCAAATCAGCAGAAAAAATGACCAAATAGAAATGATGAAAAAAGCTAAAATTAAATACCTACCAGAAAACATGTTGCAAACGAAAACACACCTTTGTATACTTGATTTAAGAAATCTGACAAGAAATAACGAGGTCAGATTCTTAAACAGACTTAGATTAAGACGACGATTACAAATAAGAGCAATTTGGGAAAAACAACCTTTGAAGGTTGAGGAAG